AACCAGCGACAAAAATACAGGGCCGCGTTTTTCTATTACATTGAAGACCACGTGCAAAAATTCAAGCCCTTTTGCAAAAATTTTTTTTCACCCAAATCGTCACTTAGCATGGTTTTGCACTCACCCCTTCAAATATTTAGCCAAAAAGTACAATAATTGTGCCTTTCCTTGTATACCAGTGTGCCTGAAATTTGAATTGACCAATAAGGATTCAGCAGAAGAGAAAATCTGTTCTGTCCTGGCGTGAAATGTATTTTAACAGGAAGCCTTCAAATGAATCCCGCTCTGTTCTACACAGATTAGGCAAATAGAGCAGAAAAGTAATAAACTGTACAATTAAGAAATAGAAAAGATGTACCATGTTTCTATCGAGTTATAGAAACACGAGTGGAAGTTTGGGAGAACGAGAAATGATGTTCGAGTTCCAAACTTCCACGAGTGTTTCTATAACTTGATAGAAACGCAGAGAACATGTTTTCTGTTTCTTTTAGAAAACATTGCAACGAAAAAAAATAAAACAACTTGTTAACTTTGATTATCAAAGTGTAAATTCTCTTTGCTGGCGCCATCATTACGTCAACAGCTTGTGCTAGTTTTGTGTTTCTATCGAGTTATAGAAACACAAATTTTAACCAGTCAGCGCACATATTTTCTTAGGACTGTTTTCTAATGTAAATTACTGTACAATGTAAATTAAAGTATATTACTGCACAGTATATATTAAGTACATTACTGTACAATGTGTATTGAGCACATTACTGTACAATGTATTTAAGTCAAGATTGTTATAGACCTGTTAGGAAAATCTCTTCCTCTGTTGTTTTCAGAAAGCAATGGATGTAATAGGAATATCTGATGAAGACCAAGGCAGCGTGGTGCAGATTGTTGCTGGGGTCCTTCATTTGGGCAATATTTCCTTTGATGAGCAGGGAAACTATGCAGTACCAAGTGATGATGAATGTATGCATGCAACAGTCCATTATATAGTACTTAATGAGTACTGGCATTGTTTTAATATGACTTATCTGAGGTGCAAGGCACAGCATTAATTGAAAGCAGCTATTTTACATTATTTTAGTTATAGATTAGTTATTTATTACCCTGGTCAAATAAAGTCTATCTATTTATCTTATATGCATGTAGATAACGGTATTAATGCCTTACTGTGTTTATGAAAGTATTTGAGCATGTTTTTTCCCGTTGTTTTCAACAGTTTTGGCATATCCAGCATACTTGATGGGCGTGAATGATATGCTATTAAAAGAGAAACTGATCAGGTATNTGAGTCATATTTTGTACTCTGTATTGGTCATCAGTTTTCTATAAAAAAAAGAAGCAGACTCCTCAACATTCTCAACATTAACAACTTTTTTTGCTTGTTAAATAGTAACACAAGAAACTACACAGTTGTTTATCATGATGGCTAAAATGTTTTTTTTTTATACACTGGGATACATACATTACTTCCTGTGTGAATTAAAATTAAAGTGAGTCCAATTCTGGTTCTTTATCTTTCAGGCATGTTACACTAGGGATGCCTTAGCCAAAGCTCTATACTCAAGATTGTTTGATTATCTAGTTCAGGTAACTGATACAATTTTTTTTATGTTCCATGTTCAATTTTATTCCAGTGTTAGTATGAAATATTTGAAGGATTGCTTGCAATGTTTAGTTTTGAAAAGCCTACCGCAGTTGTTTGTTTGCTTGCATTCTCTTCAAATTTTACATTCTTAAGAATACAATAAATTAATATGTAATATTTGACCAGATACATGTATACCAGTTGAAACTTTCCTTCTGTTCTTGTTTAATTTCAAAACATGATCATTCTCTCTGCAGTCTGTAAACAAAGCCATGCAGAAGGATGTTGATGAACTCACAATTGGTGTCCTTGATATTTATGGCTTTGAAATCTTCCAGGTAAATTTCTAATAATCCTTGTAATTACAGATATGTTTCCCATTTTATGCAGCTGTAATAGGATTCTTGTACATCAGTTGGTTGTAACCACAGTTTCTACCTTTTGAGAGAGTTCCCCTTCTAGGAGTGTCCTTTTATGTGTCATGTCTTATTAGAGCAGGCCTTCCTCTCCTTTTTGGAAGATTTCACCTCATGTGAGGGGTCCCTTGTATTAAATATGAGTTGTGTCCATGTAAGGAAGTGATTCCTTTTGAGAATTTTGTAGTGGGTCTTCCCTATAGCAACATTCTATTATTATGAACAACTGTCAGTTTATACGGGAGTTCCATGATGGCTTGTGTCCCCCGATACAAACTATGTTATGTACCATAATGAGAGATGTCCATTCATCGGTGGTATCCAGAAATTGTAAACTAAAATGCATATGCATTGCCTCTGTTTCTTTTGTAAGTTCTTTTGTTGAAGCTGCATGCAAATGTTCCTAACCTTTCAGAAAAATGGATTTGAACAATTCTGTATCAACTTTGTGAATGAAAAACTCCAGCAAATCTTCATTGAGCTGACGTTGAAAGCAGAGCAGGTAAGATCAACAGGTTGTATTGTGCACTCTTTTTAACCTGTTGCTAGCAAATCTTGCATGATGTAATGTCCTAACTATTTGTTAAGCCAATCAGAGCTGAGTTTATATTTTCTTAGTTCATTTTATAATGCTAGTGGCTTTTAAAATTTAATATAATTTTTTCTGAATTTATGATGTACAGTAATGTGCCTTTTGATCATTGCATGTTAAAAGGCGCAATATATATGGGTTATTGACCAAGTGTGAGGTGAAGATGGCTGGATATTGGCCAAGTTCTTTTTTTTTGCAWGTTTATGGACCGAGACGGAGTCAAGGTCCGTAAACTCGCAAAAAAAGAACGAGGCCAATATCCAGCCATCTTGACCAAACAAACTTGGTCAATAAAGGATTTATTATATGGCTTTTGGGGGAAATTTTTCTTGTGGGACACAGCAGGTAGATCCTGAGCAGGCAAGATAGCTCCATCTTGCCCGCTTGGGTAGCCAATCACAGCGCAGGATTTGATTCATCTTGCCTGTTCGCGGAGCAAGCCATATAATAAAAGTAATTAATTATTATTATTATTATCATTATCGTTATCATTATCATTATCATTATTATTATTACTATTGTTATTTAAAACTGATATTACTTCATCTCATTAGCTTCACTATTTGCTGTCTGACTTTCAGTTTTTCAGCTATGTACATTAACAAGTTATTTGAACCATTTCATTTTATTCCTTTTAGGAGGAGTATGTGGAAGAAGGAATTAATTGGAGCCCAATTGATTATTTCAACAACAAAATTGTTTGTGATGTTATTGAAAGCAAGGTAAGATCACAAGCACTTTCTCATCAAATGATGCTGGACCTGGATGTAGAGATCTAGACACAGCATAAATGGTTTGTGTGATGTACTTAAGACAAAAGTGTAAATGAGCTTTCAGGCCAAGGTAGCACAGAGTTGGAGCTGCCTAAGAACATGACACAATGACTCCAGCCTGCACTTAAATTTTATAAAAAAATTCTGGGCATGGTCAGCAAAAGAGGAATCACTACCCCATGATACAGTTATCAAAGTGTTGGTACTAATTAATGATGCTGCAGACACTGAATTTATTTAATGCTAGACAACTTGTTCTGCGACATTGCTGTGAGTGGATTAAGGCTAATATTGTGCAATGGCTTGTTTGTATTGACAGAAACCTCCAGGTATCATGTGTGTCCTTGATGATGTATGTGCCACAATGCATGCTGTTAGTGAGGGTGCTGATGCTACTCTTCTTGAGGTGTAGTATTTATTTAAACAGGATTGTGCAATTTCATGTATACAATTCAAACACTTGGACCAGTTATAAATCAATTCATTACTCATTATCTAATAAGCTTTGGACGTTCAACATTATAGATTATACTGAGCTGTAATGCAGAATATTGTCATAACTGACGTATATAATAAGCATCACACACTTTCTTAGGATGTATTCTTTGGCAGTATGTTCAACATGTATACATTTTTTGGACTTTGTAGAAACTGAACAATGCTGTGGGGACACATCAACACTTTCAGGGAGTCAGTGGTGGGTTCATCATTCACCACTATGCAGGAAAGGTAATTGTTTTTGTCATTTATTACAATTTGTGGCAACATACATGATTCAAACAGAGCTTTTCTGGATTTGTTTCAGGTAACTTATGATGTTGTTGGATTCTGTGAAAGAAATCGTGATGTTCTTTTTAAGGATCTTATAGAGCTTATGCAAACAAGTGAAAAGTGAGTTCAAAATTTAGTGTATCAGGTTTTTTCAATTCTATGTACATATCACCCAGTCAGATAAATAAAATAATTTATACCTTGTGTTGTATGTCTCTGAAGTCAGTGAAGACTCTGATGAGTCCTTACAACTGGCAACTGATAATCTTATGCATTTAATCTCTACTCTAAAATTTTAGCTGAACTCCTAACTAAGGGAATTGAAAAGGGAACATCACTTTAAACTCTCACTTACTCTGATCAAATGTGATTTGTGATTTGAACGGGCTTTTGTTCCCTTTGATCTCCTGATATGCAAATCTGTCTGTGAGAAAAGGGCTACTGCTTTTGTTTTAAGGCTGATAAATGGCCATTAGCTTTGAAGGCTGGTGTTAAACTGATCTTGATCTGAACTTTCTAACAATAGGGTTTTCTTTCTAGTCCTTTCATAAGGAATCTTTTCCCTGAAGATGTAAGTACAGACAAGAGAGGAAGACCCACGACAGCTAGCAATAAAATCAAGGTAAAGATGTTATCATGTTCATACATGTATTACCTGTGAATCATCCCTCAGTGGAAAATATCAAAAAAGAGATAGGACTTGCAAGTGCTAGTTTGTTCATAGACTCTAGAGCTATGCTTAGGAGCTGCCATGGATTAGCAGCCCTGGAGGGAAAGTGTCCCTGCATACTCCCAGCTAAGCCTGAGGCAGGCCTTACCTTTTTACTTCAGGAGGAGCTCTGAGCAGTTTTCAGTTGATTACACTTAAGGGGAAACCAAAGTAATCACAACGACCAATCACAACAAATGTAACCAACATGATGAATCAGTGACCGCTCAATACAAGGTGAATACAAGTAACCAGAACCGAGCTGAAGAAAATGCATGTGTCAGTTTCACATCTGGTTTGTTGTGTTGGTCACAGAAGCTTGTTAAGCAAATTACAGACTGTAGTAGAGCAAATTTTTAGATTACTTTTGACCCTTAAATGAATACCACGTGACATACATGTATTATGCTAACAAGTAACTCACAGTGCTTGCTAGTTATTACATGTTGCAGCATGAGTCTTGCCACACCCCCATCACAATGGCTGTCAATAATACATGTTTCTTTTGTATTATTTTAGACTCAAGCCAACCTACTGGTGGATAAACTGATGAAGTGTACTCCACATTACATCCGTTGTATCAAACCAAATGAGAGCAAGAAGGCTCATGATTGGGAGGCAGACAGAGTACGGCATCAAGTGGAATATCTTGGTCTCAAGGAAAACATCCGTGTTAGAAGAGCAGGTTTTGCCTACAGAAGACCCTTTCAGAAATTTCTTGATAGGTAAGTGTGCAGTTACAAATACCTGAAAAATTGGTTGCAAATAAGCATAGACCCAAGACAAAGCACTGAAACTCTGGAATCCTTGTGAAAAGCTGCAATGATGACATGTGACAAGTAACATCAATGTATATGGTTACCTATTTATGAACTTGAAGTTGATAAACATTCGGTGACAGAGGTAGTCAAGGAAATTTCAACATATCGTATATCAAATTTGGAGTTCATCATTATTATCGATTTTATGTGGTATTCCAATCCTCCCTCATTCCCCTTTCAATGTCGTAGTTTTCAACAGGATCTATATATAAATAAATACCTGTTAAGTGCATTGACTGACTCTGTCACTGTGTAACTGACATATGTAAGGTTCATTTGGTAACACAGTTCAACCACGAGAATTGATCTGCTCTTTAGATATGCTATCCTCACCAAGGAGACTTGGCCAAGATGGAGCGGAGATGTGCGAAGAGGAGTGGAACACCTGATGAAAGCTGTCAATATGGAATCAGATCAGTGGCAGATGGGAAAGAGCAAAGTGTTCATCAAAGCGCCAGAATCAGTAAGAGACTGTAGAGGACATTAGGGACATTCTTACTCTTTAGGGGACATTCTAAAAACACAGCCTGAACTTGTTTAACCTACAGTAAAACCTACAGTTTATACCTAAAGTAAGTTTCTAATTCAGTCTTTTGGGTTTGATGACCAAAGCCAAGAAGAAAAGGCAGAAGGAAAATGCCAGCCAAGCACTTTGTTCAAGGTCGAGGAAAAAGCGTTGTAACACAAAACGTAAATTGGCAGAAGAGAAGATAAGCAACTTGCATCAAAATAAAGTGTTGTGGCGTTCCTTTTGCCAATTACACTTTCCACCTTAAGGAACTACTATTTACCATGGCTGCATCTTGATTCTTAATTTGATTACTTTCTTGAATTTCAGCTCTTCTTGCTTGAGGAACTAAGGGAAAGAAAGTTTGATGGCTATGCCAGAAAAATCCAGAAAGCCTACAGAATGTACAAATCAAGACAGTACTTTGCTGAACTCAAGCAACAAGGTAAGTCAAGCATAGAGGTGCTGGCTGATGTCCACTTCTCAGGATACTACATGTACACAAGCTATAATTTGAATGTACATTGACAGTGAGTGGTGAGTACCTCTAGGGAGTGTGGCTTCCTTTAAGTTGCAAAAGATAAGTAGTTTGGTAGCTAAAAACTCCAGTGGTAGCATTTCGATCGAGTCTGTGTGACAGAATTGGTTGTTGAGGAGCTTTTACTTTTTCGTTTTCCGTTATGAGGGAAAACCTGTCTCACTATGAGGCAAACACTCATCAGTATTTGGCAAGTGTTCTGAGTACCTTAGTTTGTGATTTAGAATCACTTGCCATTTACAGGACCTACACGCAGGCTAAGCCTCCTAGTATACTGTGGCATCAAAGCAACTAATCAAAATATAAATTGGAAATTAGCTTCTGAGTAATTTTGATTTAATTATACTGTTCAAATGAGGTTTTACTGAAGTGCAAAAGGCACTAAATTGTTTTTATTGTTCTATGTGTGTGCTTCTTTCAGCATCAGACATCCTTTTCAACAAGAAAGAGAGACGAAGAGGCAGCATTAACCGTAACTTTGTTGGTGACTACATTGGTTATGATGGGAACCCAGCATTGAGAAGTTTAGTCGGTATGGACTCATTTATTTTAGTGCAACATTAATATTTATTTTATTTATGCTTCACCCTTTTAATCTTCTTTTAGAAAAGCGAGAAAGGATCGAATTTGCTGTCACAGTGAACAAATATGACAGAAGATTCAAGGTGGGATGTTGTTTTGATGAGATTCTTGGTAGTTTGGACTTTATTCTTGACTTAACTCTTCCATCATATTGACACACGTAGTGTACAAACGTGTGCATGCATTCTGTGTGTAATGAATCAGAATTGACCCTTTTTACAGGCAATGAAGCGGGACCTTCTGTTATCAAGCAAACACATTTACCTCATTGGAAGAGAAAAGGCAAGTGTGGTCAAAAAAAGAAACAACTTATAATATTTTCAGCATTGTTAAACGTCAGTTGCTCATCTATCTTTATCTTACGCGTACGTTAGTTATTGGTATCCTGGGAATCCTGAGGTACAATGCTCTCTCTGGCAAGAAATGTTATTCTTACAACTAAGCATTAGGCTTAAAATTCTCATGATCTTCCGCGCTAAATCCCAAAAAATTAAAAGCAAAACTTGATTAATGTAATCAGATGGCCCCTATACTTGGAATCCTTGTTTAAATTTCACCAGTAAATTCCACTTTGGTCAAAACTCTTCAAAATTCGTTTCTTTTTTTCAGCGCTGAAAGTAGAGACTGAAGTTTACAGTAATGTTGTGATAAATAATCTGTGTTGTAATTTCTCACTTTTAGGTGAAGAAAGGACCAGAGAAGGGTAAAGTGTACGAAGTGGTGAAGCGTAAACTAGAAATGAAGAGTATAGGATCGGTATCACTCAGGTTAGTGTGATTTAAGAGATTTTTCGCAGTGATACCTCTCCCTCCCCCCGCCTTGTGTTGGACTGCAACATCAGCACAGGTTTGACGTACAAGTTGACATGTCTACATCAGTTAGTGAGTTCAATGTTGTTGTCTGGAAAATAACGTTGACCAACTTTAATGGGAAGCAGGAATGTGACCTTTTTGACAGTTTTCAAGGTTTCGAGTTAGAGCTGGCGACCAGTTAAAGTTTTCAGCTACTTCAAGCTGCTTGTAAATCACAGCAATTGAAATATAGCTATGTCGCCTAAAAACGTTTTCTACCTTTTTACCTTTAACATTGCCAACATTGTTGAGGTTCTCTAATAACTGTAAGTTTCGCATTGGGACAAAAAAACTAAGAGTAAGTACACTACTTGGCATTGTATTAACACCCCGCGTTTACCTGCCACCTGTAAAGGTAGATTAAGTCTGGATACGAGCCAAGTGGCCCATCAGGCCAGAGCTTATCCCGGTTTCCGTAGCATGAATTGACTAGGAGTATTTCTATTTTCCCCCGCCCTCCCCTGGTTGGGATGCTAGTCCATCGTAGGGTTACCCCCAGCATTGAATTCGTCCAGACCCATTTATAGACCTGAGTGGTGAGAGGCACTGGCACTTGCCCAAGAACACAACACAATGTCCCCGGCCAGGGCTTGAACCCGGACCGCTTGACCCGGAGACGAGCGCACTAATCATGAGGTCACCGCGCTTCCCTGCCTGTGTATATGTAGTTCTTAAAATACATCTCAGGAAAGAGCAAGATATTTTTGTGTTAACATGAATGTTTATAATGTAATTTATTTTTCCAGCCCTCTTCAAGATGACTTTATAGTGCTTCATATTCCTGGCGAGTATGACAGTGTTCTAGAAACCGTATTCAAGACAGAGTTTCTTACTCTTCTGTCATCAAAATATCAAGACTCTCTGAGTCGTCAGCTGAAAGTGGATATCGTCAGCAGGTATGATAAATTCAAAGGTTTATGCGCAAGATGTCCCTTTAACGGTATTATAACCCAAAATGCATGTAATATTCCTCTATCCAGTCAACCGCCAACTGTTGCACGTAATACTTTTTGAAACAGGCCACAGCTGTTTCCCGCGAACCGTGTCTACCCAGCCAAATTTACAATCAAATGTTAGGAAAGCGAAAGTTAGAAAAATTAGTTGAGCGTCTTTTAGCCAAGCTGAATACAATCTTCCACCTAGTATGTTATTCTCATATTGTGTAAAATTCAATTTTTGAAAAAGTTTTTTGCCATTGGATTCCCATACAAACTCTAATTTCTGACCGCTTTGTCTACCTGTCACGATGGCGTCGAAAACCGTGATTAGGCCCGTTACAACCGGTGTTATTTCCTGGTCCTTCTCTGTCTCTTTGGTGCATGGCACCCAAGACGTCTAGTAGCAATCACTTCATACCCCACCAAATCGTTTCTAAACGTTCACTGTGTTATGGCTTTAAAAGGTTTAAATGTACAAGCCCGAGCTATCGGACGTGTGGAGAACTGTAAAAAGAAATAGTCTGCAAATATGTATTGTTTTCTTTTTACTGTGTATGTTGGAGAACAAGGTTTATGTCTACTAAGGGCTCTAACCATTGCTGGCAAAAAGCGCATTTCCTTGACAGCCTGTCGTTTCTGTTGAACCTTTCAGTATCACAGTGGCGGTGAAGAAGGAAGGGTGGGGTGGAGGAGGGACACGTACTCTGACCTTCTCTCCTGGTGATTCCGACTTCCCTGCACTCAAGCCTGCTGGCAAAACACTCAATGTCTCCATTGCACGAGGACTTCCCAAGGACACAAGTAAGTCTGCGAGACAGATCGCGTTTATACATACTATGTTTCTTCCAGCACCGCGAGGAAGCCATTTAATGTCCACAATATAACAAGTTAAAATGTCACCAGAACCCAGCTTTAAGAGATACGAGTATTGAAGCCCAAGGAAAACCATAAATACTGATACTATGCCATATTTCCCTTGTTTCGTCAGGACCTGGTCGTCAAGTCGCAGCCAGTTCTGGCCCAAGTAAACCCCGTCGTGCAGGCCCTGGGTACCCCTCGCAGCAACAAGCTCCCGGCCAAGTGCGTGGCCGAAAAGGGTCGAGTCTCAATAGGTATGCCCAAACGCACAAACAACCTTCATTGCCGAGATCTGGAGCACAACACCTGGCCCGAGGTCCTGCTAACATTGATGTCAGACAACAGGAATTCATGCGAACTCCAGAGTCAGGAGTGTGTGGGTGAGTTTGTGTTACGTTTTGTTTTTTAGCAGCAAGTTAGGGTGATGTTACATGCAATTGTTAGCCCGCGGTTTTCGTCTCGAGAATTGCTTAGCATCGTGAAGTTTAAATTACGCTATTCCATGACTGTTTTCAGTGTACCCGTGGGAACTCGTCTTAGTTGTTCATTGGACAAAAAGAGTTGGAAACTGTTCGAGTGTTCAGTGTTGTCTTAGATGACGATTTCGCCAAAATGATACACGTTCATCCAACTTGTTACAAAGTAACTCAGTGTGACATTGATGGGGTACCATGTCACTAATATGGAGCTCTTATATCCTAGGAGCGCGGTTTTTGTTATTGCCGGTACATATACGATTTCTGGAAGAAACTGCGAGAAAAGTCGATAGCTGAGTGTTCTTGAAAAAAGCCCTCCAAAGACCTTTCAGTACCGCGTGCTACAACATAGGCAGAACAATATTGCATGTAAGATCACATTAGTGTACACGAACTATTATTCTGTAATCATAGAAAGATACCAGACAGGCAAAGTAATTATAAAAGTTAAAGGGGAATAGGCGATTTTATTGCCGTGTTGTGTTGTGTGGTGTTACACTGTAGGTAGTGTGCTGTGCTTTTGGTGCTTTTTGTCTGTGATGTTTTGGGTGTGTTGTTGATAAATTGAGTGATAAATTCCTTGTCAGAATTAAATTTCCTCCCGTCGGATTCTGCAATATAAAACAATAACCGGTGTAACACATAATTATACTGTAAGAGATTGATCAACGAAATAACACGTTTAGATACCAAACCGATAATTTTCAGGTTTAACTGTCAAGTGCCGTCTATTACCCAACCTGACTCAAAAGTTGCTTTTAAAATTTACAGGAAAATAAACTACCTCAATTTTAAAATTTATCCAAATGCATCACAGTTAAAGCCAAGTTAACAACTTACGCTGCGCTGAAATAGAAGCAGTTAGGTAATTGTGATTACTTGACATAACTCTTCTCAACGCCTTTATTGAATTCACGACCTTTAAACCATAAACAGATTTAACCGCATGAACCCACCCGTCACTACTTTACGAGGAGGAACTCGAGCGACTTATCCCACTCCCAGTGGACGCCATGTGGACTATCCACCACATATCCACCATGCGGCATCCTCCCTGCAGTTTGGCGACGGCTCCCGTCAATATGGGAAAAATCCTGAGCAGTGGGATACTGCAGTCTATGGACAGTATAGGAAAACTTACGGTGGGCAGAATGCGCCGTACAACGCAACGACTTTGAGACGAACGTCTGAGGATGGTAAGAGGAGGGTAAGTTTTGAAGACGACCACGTGAATGCCGCCAGACAAGCCAGGCAGCGCCCGCGTTCTGCCAACATTACCTCTCAACGAGAGGTAATTCATGTCTTTCCATTCAGTGAGAAACACGATGAAAGATTGCATCAAGGAGGTGAATCACAGCAAGATCCTTATGCCAGGGGAACTGCAGGACGGAGTGGACACCGAACAGTGCAACGCCCTCGCTCTGTGACCATGGCATCACAGAGCGAAAGTGTTTACAGTTCTACAACCGAGCAGCAGAGAATGCAGTGGACAGAAACAGCTAAAAGAAGTCAGTATTCAGCAAGACCGCCCGATCAAAGTGGGTACAGTAGGGCGGGATATCATCTGAACCAAGCCCCTCAACAGAGTTCGTACAGATCAGACAAACCTCCCCACTCAGGGAATACCACAGCTCAGGACACAGCATATTCAGGAGATTACCGAGCCAGGAATGCTTTGCACGGTGCCGGGTACAGCACTACAAACCGTCGGCAGGCTAGAGCTTTACAGAATGGATATGAGCAGATGAACCCAGTGGATTACAGTAAAACCAGTGGCTCAAACAGACAAAATGCATACGCTCCAGCCCCGCAGAGTCCAGAGTATGTAACAATGTCAAATCCGCATGCTCCTGGAGCAGTAAAGTACAATGCTCAGGGTGTTGTACAGCAGAGAACAACATACAGGGCAGGTAATGATCAGCGTACCACAGCTCAGCAGGGATACGAGCAAATGGCTCCCTTGTACCTCAACCCTCCAGTTCCACACAGTGCTGCGGGATTCCAACAAAATGGAGTTTCATACAGTGCTGCCACAACTCAACAGAATGGAATACCATACAGTGCAGCGGGAAATCAACAGAATGGCATACCATACAGCGCAGCGGGAAACCAACAGAATGGCATACCATACAGCGCAGCGGGAAATCAACAGAATGGCATACCATACAGCGCAGCGGGAGCTCAACAGAATGGAACTCCATACAGAGTTTCCACAACGCAACAGAATGGGGCCCCATACGGTGCTGTCCCAAGTCAGCATACTGGAACACCATACGGTCCTGCTGCAAGTTCGCCGGATGGAATGCTGTACAGTGCTACCAGAACGCAACAGAATGGAACTACACACAATGCTGCAGGATCGCAACGGAATGTAATACCGTACGGCACTGCCACGAGTCAGCAGAATGGAATTCCCTACAGCACTGCCGCAAGTCAATGGAATGGAACACAATACGATGCTGCAGGTACGCAACAGAATGGAACGCCATACAGCACTGCAACGACTAAGCAGAATAGAACACCCTACAGTACTCGACAGAATCGTATGCCACACAGTACGGCCGCAAGTCAATGGAATGGAACACCGTACAGTACTATTGCGGGAGCAATTCCGCAGCACTGCATGTCATATAGCACAGCACCATCGCAACAGAATGGTACGTCGTATAGTGTTGCAGCAATCCAACCAAATGTTTCATACAGTGCTACACATCACCAAGGAGGGCATGAGCAAGGAGGCAGCCCCCAGAGCTACAGTTCGACTCCTCACCAGAATGGGTATGATGGCTATGACGGTAACCATGGGGCTCCGCAGCAGAACGGGTATGATGGCTATGACAGCAGCTCTGATAGCGAGTTCGATGATGGTGATGATCAGTATGATTACGTCAACTTGAGGCAGTGGCATGATGCTGAAAACGGATCTAACAGTTCAACTAACCAAGACGATAGGTGAGCTAACCTTTCCTTTAACATTTCTGAAATCTTGAAGTAACGGAGAAATTTGCAAGTAAAACGAAACGCTAAACTTCTAATTACCACTTACTGCTCGGAGCAAATAAGCTTTAAATTTATGAACCTCTCTGCTCAAAATCCCTAAAGGTAAAAAACTAAACGTTTCAAAAACAGATTGAAAAGTAAAATTAATTCCCAAATAGGCCATATTCGTATTCTCGGTATTGGACTGGAACTAGCTTGCAATGGAGGTTAATGCGGGGAGCCTTTTCAAATGCAAATGACTCTAATCGCTTTTTAATGATATTCTCCCGCCTGAACCTCCATTTCAAGCTAGTTCCAGTCCAATACCGAGAATACTAATATGGCCTGTTGTCTCAAATAAAACAAAAAATAAATTTTGATTTTCAACTTGAAACTGTGAATTTGTAAACGAAAACTAATGTTGACATGCAGTTAACCAGAGAGTTGGAAAATATGTTGTCTTTTACCCAAGATGTCGTATATCAAACACTTGATGCAGTGTTTCATCACATTCCAAATGCCGAGAAGAAATTTGAAAATACGACGCGTTGCCTAGTATTTTTGGTGACATTCGAGGTGTTTGGAAATGTGGTAAACACTGTTTCGAGTGTTTGATGCGTCTTCACTATTTTCTTTCGAACGCAAATCAATCCACGGTAAACAGGATTATCTCCTTTTAGCTTGATGAAATGCTAATGACATTTATAATGCTTGGTAATCTGTGACAATAACAAACGAGGGTTTGCTTTTCATGGAGAAAAAAGTTGTCTTTAGACGGAGGGTCCCCCTCCATCCTGAGCCACGCCGAGCGAGAGAACGTTTTACACATTTCTGTATAGATAACTGCGGACTGTTTATATGACAAATCACAATATGGCCAATGACAGATTGCATAACACCATACATAACAATAAGTTTTCGTTGTGGTTAGAGGACGTTGATCGAGTTTCGGAACCGGTTTATCAAGTTTTAGAACGTAGTTGTAAAACCAACACCTGTCAATCAAAAAGTGCTCTAGAGTCGATAAATTGAACATTGCCACAGTTGGTTGGCAGAAACTTAATACCCGGTATTCTTGCAAAACGAATTTATTCTGGGATTTATATATTATATGTCGAATTATTCTCGCATTTTGATTGGTTGTTATTATGATCCATTGGAGGACAGACGCAAAGATGATGTCGGAAACAATTGTTTGGTTTCTTTATTATATAAAACAAATAGATTCCATGTTACCGTGTGTCTGTTCAGTAATAGATCACAATGTCAAAATGTGGTAAGATCATCAGTGACACACTCGGCTATCGCCTCGTGTGCTACTTTTTTGTTCTTACCACATTTCGACGTCATCTGTGATCTATTACTGAACAGACGCACAGCAACATGGAATCTATTTGTTAAGTAGATAGTAACGACCAGGATAGGTGATTCTACGGAAATAAGAATTGTATTCAACATTAACTGTTTTGTAAGTAGTTCCATGTTTACTTTATTTTGTATGTAGTGTTGTGTGGTGTGCTGCAGAGCTTTTGTACATCCGTGTCGTCATGTGTCTTTTGCTAACATGTTTATACCTAACGTTAAGATAAGTTTTTTTCACTTTTCCACTTTTATTATCATCTTTTGGGGGTCAAAAACAAAAAAATACATATTCTTAATCACACGTGACATTATTAACATCAATTTCGATATATTCAAATTCAGCCTAAAACAATAGACCTCAGTACGAGGTTCTGGGAAGTAACTACAGAGTTTGGAAGACATCTAAGTTCTGTGTTGTTTTTCATAGCTATACATTTCTCAGAACTTTCTAATATTTACTTTGTCTAATTCCGTAATCTTAAAGTTATCCAAATATGTAGTTTAACAAGTGTAATAAAGTAATTCAGTATTTCTATTTCTGCGTCTAATCTACGTAATAACACATCTTGTAGCGTGCGGTCGACTCTTTTGCCAGAAACCGGAGACCAAAAGGATGCAAACTCATTGCAGATTAGGTTTGTGAAAGAGCACTCATAAAATAGATGATTCACACATAGTGTTAAAGTAATGTTTTTGCACTGACTAATCGCTAAAATGAAGAACACTTTATAAACTGTGGTTTGTAAATGAGTCGTCGAATTTGGTTGGAGATAAGTCATTTAAAAAAACAAATATATTACTTAAATCGTAATTATAAAATACCTTCAGCAAGTGATGACATGTAAATTAAGATCTTAAATTCATTTACTTCGTTGTGAGTAAACCAACCCTATAACCATCATAATGTTCTAATGGTTTCCCATTCTAATGGTCTGTGATTGTTGCAGCTGATTTTTCTTTGTAAGTTGAATACGACTTCTCTCTCCTATCTCCCTAGTTCGTCGAAAAGGCAATCACGAGGAAAAAATGGTGCGCGAAAACTGGAGGCGAGATGTGCATCTTGCTCCCCCTGTTCGCGCGACGATTTTTCCAGTCGTTAGCTTCACACCCCATGTCGTGGCGTATAGGAATTGATTACAT